GAAAAATTCCCACCCACCGTGGCTCTGAGGGAGTAGTCGTGCTCACGGAGCCTGTCGTTTAGACAGCGTCCTGTTTGTCCAATGTAGGAGCGGCCGCAGGATAGTGGTATGTTGTAAACAACACCCGTGGCACAAGGCACAAACGGCTTGGCGTGCTTTTTTGAACATCTGTTTTTTAGACTTCCCTCTGCCTTGGCGTTGACTCTTAGGCAAATCTGACTCATCTTTTGGGGAGCTGAAAAGACCACAGGAACTCCATAGCGGTTTCCAACATTTTTTAGGTTATGGGAAATCTTGTGCACATACGGGATGACAACTGGTCTCTTTCTTTCCACACTACGTTTTGTATTCTGGATCCCCTTTACTTTCCTAATTATGGTGCTCGCAATATCTGACAGTAGGGCGGATGAATAGCCGGCTTTTTGCAGTCTCGCTGTTTGCGATTTGAAGCTCTCTCCTATAGTGTGGAGGCAAGATTTGTTCAGTGCCGATTGTAGACTAGACAGAGCAATGCCCCTTTTTATGATTTTTGAATGGGCCGAGTTGTAGTCAAGAATGGCCTTCTTCGACCTTGGCTTATAAGTCCAGCATACATGGTCGTCTTCTAGGCACAGTGAAATGTCAAGGTACTGAAGCACATTTTCGTTTGGGATCTCGAATGTAAACCTCAGGCCTCCCCCACACGTTTTAAAGACACTCATCACTTGTTCCCTTACCGTGTCCAGTAGTACTCTTTTTTTAAGAATCACTAGAAAGTCGTCTACGTAGCGGAACACCTTACTAACAAAAGTGTCGCCTAACTCACTCGCGATACCACAGTCCACTTCACCCAGGTAGATGTCACTTAAAACGGGGGCAACACATGACCCAATACACACCCCCGACTTTTGCCTGTAGCTATTCCCCTTCCACGTGATTATCATGGATTGCAGGTAGAATTGCAACATTTCCATAAAGCTTTCCAGGGTTATACCACTTGAACTTCTAAAGGCCACCTCTCCATTATCTTCAATGCACCTCTTCACCGATTCCAGCATTCTGTTGTGCGGCAAGGAGTAGTATAGATCTTCTACATCTATACTGAATGCTTCTCTCTTCCCTAGGCAGCTGCCCTGGAGAAACTCCACGAGATCTTCTGAGTTGGACACCCGGTAGGGGTCCTTGATTTTTAATGAGGATAGCTGTTTTTGTAGATAGGTCGCCACCTGCCTCTGCCAAGATCCTTTTTCAGACACTATGGCTCGAAAAGGGCAGGCGTCTTTGTGCGTTTTCGCGCTAAAAAATACCTCAAGATGTGTCCTCTCCGCCTTCCCTACTCTTCCAGAGAGCTGGTTTAAGGCTAAATGGTCGCAAAGATATTTGGCTTTTTCCCGTGTTTTCTTCAGGTCAATTTTGACCTGTCTGAAATTTTTATGTATAGCCACGCTAGCTTTTTCATTAAACATGCCTGTTGGTAGCACTACAAATTGACCCTCTTTGTCTGATAACATTACACGCAGTTCTTTACCCACCATAAAATTCACTATGGTGTTAAAAAGACCAACCTGTCCTCTTTTTCTCTGTGGTTGAAGAACATCCACGCACTCTGAGATACATCTTGGCCTGTCAACCTCCACCGCTTTATCCGCGACATTCTTAGCCAGAGTCACCAATTCGGGAGGGCTTAGGACTGGCTCGAAGCTGAACTTGGGACCAAGCTCAAGCTGCTTGCCGATGTCTGGAGGAACCTTCACTGCTCCCAAGGTCGTGAAACTGCCACCTGATGGACATGTCTGGTGTTTCTTCGTTGGAAGGTGAGGCCTGATGGTCTGCCACAAAAACTCCGTGGCATCTCTTGTCTTCTTGGTCATCTCTCGATGGCAACCTCGTGGATGATCCTGATTTCCTCGATCAGAAGCACAGGCCACTCTTAGGCAGTCTCTGAAGAACCTTTCCTGGCGCCAGTACTCTGATCTTAATACACGGCACACCCTTTTTGTGTGTCCTGAATTTGGAGTTAGCAGGCCAAAAACTCCCTTGAGTTCCACAGGACAGGTGCCGCGTCGAATATGCCAAGAAGCCACCCTTGCAGAACACACACACTGGGCAATGAGGTTGACCAGAACGACAGGATTAGAAAACGCATCATTAGAGAAGCTGGAGAAAGGGCCCGATGTAAAAGAAATAAACTGTAATAAAGTAGAAAGTTGGGCTAGTTGGTTTTGGTTATACATAATGACAAATACACAGCGCAAAAGGACAAAAAGGGAAGAGACACACCGGATAGAACAGAGCGCTGACTCGCAACTAGATATTTTAATAGAAGAAAAAAGAGGAAGAAGAATATTTTAGTCACCATAATTCGCACGTGTAACTTGTGCCATGATATGTGGTGGCTATGGCACGCGCTGGGCCTTCATAGTCAATTTCATGAACTCCAACTCTTTGTTGGACAACGAGACAGATGGTGTGCTGATGCAACTTGCTCCTCCACTGTGGATGTAAAAAGCCTCCAGAACCTTTCGGGTTGTTTTGTCCCGGTGTCTTCCCATAACTGTGGTGGCATCAAAAGACGGTTCACATAGACATTCTTTACAGTGAAGTGAAAAATTTCCACCCACCGTGGCTCTGAGGGAGTAGTCGTGCTCACGGAGCCTGTCGTTTAGGCAGCGTCCTGTTTGTCCAATGTAGGAGCGGCCGCAGGATAGTGGTATGTTGTAAACAACACCCGTGGCACAAGGCACAAACGGCTTGGCGTGCTTTTTTGAACATCTGTTTTTTAGACTTCCCTCTGCCTTGGCGTTGACTCTTAGGCAAATCTGACTCATCTTTTGGGGAGCTGAAAAGACCACAGGAACTCCATAGCGGTTTCCAACATTTTTTAGGTTATGGGAAATCTTGTGCACATACGGGATGACAACTGGTCTCTTTCTTTCCACACTACGTTTTGTATTCTGAATCCCATTTACTTTCCTAATTATGGTGCTCGCAATATCTGACAGTAGGGCGGATGGATAGCCGGCTTTTTGCAGTCTCGCTGTTTGCGATTTGAAGCTCTCTCCTATAGTGTGGAGGCAAGATTTGTTCAGTGCCGATTGTAGACTAGACAGAGCAATGCCCCTTTTTATGATTTTTGAATGGGCCGAGTTGTAGTCAAGAATGGCCTTCTTCGACCTTGGCTTATAAGTCCAGCATACATGGTCGTCTTCTAGGCACAGTGAAATGTCAAGGTACTGAAGCACATTTTCGTTTGGGATCTCGAATGTAAACCTCAGGCCTCCCCCACACGTTTTAAAGACACTCATCACTTGTTCCCTTACCGTGTCCAGTAGTACTCCTTTTTTAAGAATCACTAGAAAGTCGTCTACGTAGCGGAACACCTTACTAACAAAAGTGTCGCCTAACTCACTCGCGATACCACAGTCCACTTCACCCAGGTAGATGTCACTTAAAACGGGCTCAACACATGACCCAATACACACCCCCGACTTTTGCCTGTAGCTATTCCCCTTCCACGTGATTATCATGGATTGCAGGTAGAATTGCAACATTTCCATAAAGCTTTCCAGGGTTATACCACTTGAACTTCTAAAGGCCACCTCTCCATTATCTTCAATGCACCTCTTCACCGATTCCAGCATTCTGTTGTGCGGCAAGGAGTAGTATAGATCTTCTACATCTATACTGAATGCTTCTCTCTTCCCTAGGCAGCTGCCCTGGAGAAACTCCACGAGATCTTCTGAGTTGGACACCCGGTAGGGGTCCTTGATTTTTAATGAGGATAGCTGTTTCTGTAGATAGGTCGCCACCTGCCTCTGCCAAGATCCTTTTTCAGACACTATGGCTCGAAAAGGGCAGGCGTCTTTGTGCGTTTTCGCGCTAAAAAATACCTCAAGATGTGTCCTCTCCGCCTTCCCTACTCTTCCAGAGAGCTGGTTTAAGGCTAAATGGTCGCAAAGATATTTGGCTTTTTCCCGTGTTTTCTTCAGGTCAATTTTGACCTGTCTGAAATTTTTATGTATAGCCACGCTAGCTTTTTCATTAAACATGCCTGTTGGTAGCACTACAAATTGACCCTCTTTGTCTGATAACATTACACGCAGTTCTTTACCCACCATAAAATTCACTATGGTGTTAAAAAGACCAACCTGTCCTCTTTTTCTCTGTGGTTGAAGAACATCCACGCACTCTGAGATACATCTTGGCCTGTCAACCTCCACCGCTTTATCCGCGACATTCTTAGCCAGAGTCACCAATTCGGGAGGGCTTAGGACTGGCTCGAAGCTGAACTTGGGACCAAGCTCAAGCTGCTTGCCGATGTCTGGAGGAACCTTCACTGCTCCCAAGGTCGTGAAACTGCCAGCTGATGGACATGTCTGGTGTTTCTTCGTTGGAAGGTGAGGCCTGATGGTCTGCCACAAAAACTCCGTGGCATCTCTTGTCTTCTTGTTCATCTCTCGATGGCAACCTCGTGGATGATCCTGATTTCCTCGATCAGAAGCACAGGCCACTCTTAGGCAGTCTCTGAAGAACCTTTCCTGGCGCCAGTACTCTGATCTTAATACACGGCACACCCTTTTTGTGTGTCCTGAATTTGGAGTTAGCAGGCCAAAAACTCCCTTGAGTTCCACAGGACAGGCGCCGCGTCGAATATGCCAAGAAGCCACCCTTGCAGAACACACACACTGGGCAATGAGGTTGACCAGAACGACAGGATTAGAAAACGCATCATTAGAGAAGCTGGAGAAAGGGCCCGATGTAAAAGAAATAAACTGTAATAAAGTAGAAAGTTGGGCTAGTTGGTTTTGGTTATACATAATGACAAATACACAGCGCAAAAGGACAAAAAGGGAAGAGACACACCGAATAGAACAGAGCGCTGACTCGCAACTAGATATTTTAATAGAAGAAAAAAGAGAAAGAAGAATATTTTAGTCACCATAATTCGCACGTGTAACCTGTGCCATGATATGTGGTGGCTATGGCACGCGCTGGGCCTTCATAGTCAATTTCATGAACTCCAACTCTTTGTTGGACAACGAGACAGATGGTGTGCTGATGCAACTTGCTCCTCCACTGTGGATGTAAAAAGCCTCCAGAACCTCTCGGGTTGTTTTGTCCCGGTGTCTTCCCATAACTGTGGTGGCATCAAAAGACGGTTCACATAGACATTCTTTACAGTGAAGTGAAAAATTCCCACCCACCGTGGCTCTGAGGGAGTAGTCGTGCTCACGGAGCCTGTCGTTTAGGCAGCGTCCTGTTTGTCCAATGTAGGAGCGGCCGCAGGATAGTGGTATGTTGTAAACAACACCCGTGGCACAAGGCACAAACGGCTTGGCGTGCTTTTTTGAACATCTGTTTTTTAGACTTCCCTCTGCCTTGGCGTTGACTCTTAGGCAAATCTGACTCATCTTTTGGGGAGCTGAAAAGACCACAGGAACTCCATAGCGGTTTCCAACATTTTTTAGGTTATGGGAAATCTTGTGCACATACGGGATGACAACTGGTCTCTTTCTTTCCACACTACGTTTTGTATTCTGGATCCCCTTTACTTTCCTAATTATGGTGCTCGCAATATCTGACAGTAGGGCGGATGGATAGCCGGCTTTTTGCAGTCTCGCTGTTTGCGATTTGAAGCTCTCTCCTATAGTGTGGAGGCAAGATTTGTTCAGTGCCGATTGTAGACTAGACAGAGCAATGCCCCTTTTTATGATTTTTGAATGGGCCGAGTTGTAGTCAAGAATGGCCTTCTTCGACCTTGGCTTATAAGTCCAGCATACATGGTCGTCTTCTAGGCACAGTGAAATGTCAAGGTACTGAAGCACATTTTCGTTTGGGATCTCGAATGTAAACCTCAGGCCTCCCCCACACGTTTTAAAGACACTCATCACTTGTTCCCTTACCGTGTCCAGTAGTACTCCTTTTTTAAGAATCACTAGAAAGTCGTCTACGTAGCGGAACACCTTACTAACAAAAGTGTCGCCTAACTCACTCGCGATAGCACAGTCCACTTCACCCAGGTAGATGTCACTTAAAACGGGGGCAACACATGACCCAATACACACCCCCGACTTTTGCCTGTAGCTATTCCCCTTCCACGTGATTATCATGGATTGCAGGTAGAATTGCAACATTTCCATAAAGCTTTCCAGGGTTATACCACTTGAACTTCTAAAGGCCACCTCTCCATTATCTTCAATGCACCTCTTCACCGATTCCAGCATTCTGTTGTGCGGCAAGGAGTAGTATAGATCTTCTACATCTATACTGAATGCTTCTCTCTTCCCTAGGCAGCTGCCCTGGAGAAACTCCACGAGATCTTCTGAGTTGGACACCCGGTAGGGGTCCTTGATTTTTAATGAGGATAGCTGTTTCTGTAGATAGGTCGCCACCTGCCTCTGCCAAGATCCTTTTTCAGACACTATGGCTCGAAAAGGGCAGGCGTCTTTGTGCGTTTTCGCGCTAAAAAATACCTCAAGATGTGTCCTCTCCGCCTTCCCTACTCTTCCAGAGAGCTGGTTTAAGGCTAAATGGTCGCAAAGATATTTGGCTTTTTCCCGTGTTTTCTTCAGGTCAATTTTGACCTGTCTGAAATTTTTATGTATAGCCACGCTAGCTTTTTCATTAAACATGCCTGTTGGTAGCACTACAAATTGACCCTCTTTGTCTGATAACATTACACGCAGTTCTTTACCCACCATAAAATTCACTATGGTGTTAAAAAGACCAACCTGTCCTCTTTTTCTCTGTGGTTGAAGAACATCCACGCACTCTGAGATACATCTTGGCCTGTCAACCTCCACCGCTTTATCCGCGACATTCTTAGCCAGAGTCACCAATTCGGGAGGGCTTAGGACTGGCTCGAAGCTGAACTTGGGACCAAGCTCAAGCTGCTTGCCGATGTCTGGAGGAACCTTCACTGCTCCCAAGGTCGTGAAACTGCCAGCTGATGGACATGTCTGGTGTTTCTTCGTTGGAAGGTGAGGCCTGATGGTCTGCCACAAAAACTCCGTGGCTTCCACAGAAATGAAAGTGGAAGCCAACGCCCTTGGGATCACCGTCGACATCGTGGTTCTTCTTCTTTTTTTCCGGCTGTAACCGTTGAGTCACCGACAACTTTGTAGATCACATCTGAATATTTGTACGTAGATATATTCACTTGGGTTACTTAGAAATGCAAATTGTCATTCCGTTAATATGGCCCCTAGGTTAACCTTCTTTAATTTAATAATATTACAGCACTTGACACCTTCCTTCTCTTTCACTACATCCTTATTAAAACCTCAGTTGTGAGTCAGCGCTCTTTCCTTCCTGTTGTCTCTTCCTTACGCTACTTATTTGCGCTGTTTAAGTCACGATACCTACAGCCCTTGGGTACTTCGACAAAGCGAGATTGTAACGCGTTGACGCCTCCAAGTGGCAAAACTCGTCACTACGGTACGCTTGGTCGTCCGAGGCATGATGACGTCAAGACGTCTGCCGGATCTCCCGAGATGCATCGCGCTCCTCCATGGCTGATTTTGAAGCGCTCGCCAAAATCGCGGCATTTAGAGCATAAAATATAGCCATCTGCTCAAAATACGACCGTGCGATTATTCATTATAGGCTTAGCTGACCATATTGAACTCATTTCTTGATGTTTTCTCTATATTTCAAGTTTCGATTCCGTATCCCTTCAAGTGGCTTGGATTAGCCGGTTTTTTTTTCACATGCGGAGGTACCTACATAGCACTCCGGTGGCCCCACTGGTCCCTTCTAGTACACTCTATTGGCGGCCACGGTGTCGTCGCGTAGCGTGCTCGCCTTTCTAGCGGTATGGTGGTGGTGTGTGGCCAGTGGCTGGCCTCGTGTCTTGATTTGGTGCTGTGTCGATCACAGGTGCCACCATCGTGCACGAAGGGGAGCCTTAACCAGATGAAGAAGAACGAGAAGGAAAAAAACAGAGATTTACGGACTCTAGCGACTTGGCGGTAGCGTGGGGGTGGTGAGAACAAGAAGAGGTGAGCGAGGGAATGCGGAACCACCGCTGGGAGAAAAAACCGGAGCGGTCGGTTTGGGAGAGATCCCATACTTGGGCGCCATCTATCCCCGTGCGAGTGAAGCGCGCTCGGTGCACCAAACATAATGTGGCCGCTGCGTCGGACAGAGAGTCATCACCTAAATATGTTTCTTCCACCGTGGGTACAACAAGAAGCGGTGAGCGAGAGAATGCGGGACCACCGCCGGGAGACACAACCGGAGCGGTCGGTAGGAGGGATCCCATACTTGGGCGAAATCTATCCCGGTGGGAGTGAGGCGCTCGGCGCGCCAAACATAATGTGGTCGCCGCGTCGGACAGAAAGTCATCACCTAAATGTTTATTTCACCGCGCTTTATAGTGGCAGATTTACTCGAAGACCTTCGTCTGACGACGGTTCGGATGTCACGGTCTTCATTGCTTATGGTAACGGCGTAGAACCCACCAGCGCCGCTCTTCTTTCCTATATACAACCATGCTGTGTGCGACAGGAAGTTTACCACACCATATACAAGATAAAGGGGCCATAAAACGATATCGAGTATGAATATTCGTGACTTTGCAGGAGCGTACTAGTCCAAGTCTGGCCCAAGCTACTGCACAGACCGCTACTCACTCAGAAGCTTCTTTGTCGCGGTGAAATTGCAAGGATAAAAGGGGACTATTTATTTCAGTCTTGCCTTCGCAAAGCTTGATAACGTCAATGTGGAATCAAAATCAGAACGACGTTGGATCAAAACCACCCACATGGCGACAGTCAACTGCGGCTCATGGATTGGACACGAGAACTGCGTGAGCACTTGAGTTCGGCTCGTAGCAATCACTGCCTCGGCGGACACTCGGTGCAACCCCACCGTGTATGACGTTTTGGTGCTTTTTTGACGGTTTATAACGTTGTTTCTTTGTATACTGCCATATCAAGTTAATGTAAAATTAAAGAGCTGTTCTCAACAATACTTTAATGTCTCGATATTACGAATATCTTTAGTGGTTAGTTAATTATTCAGCTTTTAACAGACCAAAGTGTCTAATAGAGAAAAAAATTATTTCTCGAGTTATAACGTCCCATCGTTCACGATATTTTGCGCAAGCATTTGGTTGAATATAATAAATTAAAAAAGTAAGGAATGAATTGTACAGGTACTGTATATTTTTAAATGAAAAATGAAGTTTGAAATGGTGTTAGTTCATGGTGCTATAAAAACGGAATCACGTCAAATAATCAAAATTACGAGACATTAAATTATGAAGCATCCTTTGATATTACATTTTCCGCAATTTCAATGTTCATATATTACACGTTAAGAATGTTATTATCACGAATCTTAATAGTTCTTCAGAATGCTAAAACGTTTTTTAATATTGTGTTTAAATGAATAAAAAAGAAATGCGCGCACTGATTCTTTTTGAAATGTCTTATTAAGTTGTTTAGAAAGTGTCATTTGACCATAAACCTAAAAAGGAACCCTATAATGTCAGTATCCAGTCAACCAGCAGTTCAAAACAATTGGTCAATTTTTAGTTTTGTTTTTAAGTTAAAGGGAGCATGTGGATGTCTTTTTGTCCACAATCGAGTGAGGGCGCCAAAAGTAACTGCCTCGTGTGTATGTTTAGCCAACGCAAAGGTAAAACCAAAGCCGCTGTCACACTGCTCATGCACCATACAAGGGTCACGGAGTTTCTCTACACGCATGATGACAGAATTCTCTGCGGACACGCATGAAACATGTTCGAATTAAGCGGGTTTGAAACCCGCTTAATTCGAACATGTTTCATGCCTGGTTTGCACAAATGTAAGCTTCGGAAATGTCTGCAGACAGCTTTTGCATGACCAAAAGGGCCTTTATGCAAAGAAGAAAAACGCCCAGTGTCTGCAGTCTCTTTTATACGACGTATTATCGTGACTGCGGTTAAATGGGCATCTGGTGTCTCAGCTGTAGACGAGAAATTAAGCCAGTGCAGCAAACCGCGAGCCTACGGTCTTTAACGTGCACCACGCAGTAGCGATGCACGACCGCACGCCGGTATACGATGATCATACAGATCGGAACGGGCAGGGGCGAACATTGAACCCAGGATCCCAGGGTTCCGCAGCGTGAGCTTTCGCTTCAGATGATCGGAGCTACGGTGCGCGAACACACATGACCACAGACACCGCCGTGAGTGTTTACGGTCAAACGTTCTTCGAAAAAACACGCCCGAGCATCGTACCTCGAGGATTCGTTCCCCAGTCTTGTACGTAATTCAACTACTCTACTCACGTTTCCGTAGTCTAACTACTTTTTTTTTGTAGTTTAGGAAATTTTAATTATATTTTAACTTCGGCAATGAGTAGTTTCTTTGAAATACTTTTTACGATTCACTTCTACTCAAATTACATAATCAGTCTTGAGGTTTAGTATTTGGCTTGCTAATAGAAAGAAAAAAACATCCTTGCGCAGAAAATAAATAAGATGGCTGAAGATCAGATGATTTTCGCAGAGAGGAGCTATTATAAGACCTCGAGCTAAGAGAATCCAGATAGAAAGGAGCGACGCCATGACGTAACACCTAGCCACGTAAGATCGCCGGCGACGTCCCTTTTCGCCTATATCAGCGCCGCGCAATGGGGGAAGGATGGGTGTATCAGGGCCGTAACCAGGGGGGGGGGGGGTGTTAGGGGGTTCTAACCCCCCCCCCCCCCCCCCCCCGAAATTTTTTTCTGGGTACGGCCCTGGTCGGTGCACCTGCAGCCAGCCGATTTTAATCTCCACCTCTGCGCACGCGCAGTGGCGCCGGTCGGCTACCGGGTACCAAACCGGGACCGGTTCTCCGGTTTGCTGTAACTCTCCATTATATGCCACCGATGCACATGATTCATAGGCGAAAATAAGACAATAGACACTTTCAAAATGGCCGCCGTTGTCCCCTAACCCCCGCCCCCCCCCCCCCCCCCCCCCCCCAATTCTTTTCTGGGTACGGCCCTGGGGTGTATCACCGGGTCGCGTGTTAACCGCCCACCAGGGGATGGGAGGCTGGCCGCGTGACATTTTGTTTTTCTGGCGCATTCTTATATAACAAGCTCGTAAACACAGTCTAGTCTAGAGGCGGGAATGTCGGGGCATTCCCGTCTCCCCGTTGAAAAAAGGGACGGGAACAAGAAGGCCAAGGTGCCGGAGGCCCTGCCTTCAGGCCCGACCACACTAGCGTCGCTGCGATTTGCCGCGCGCCGCTGGCTGCCGTTGGCTGCCTGCCAAAACCAGTTTTCGCCCGCAGCGGCTCTCCGTTTGGCGCCGTCCAGGCAACCGCTCCGCGCACGCGGTTGAGGGCTCGCCGTTTTTTGCCGTAGTAGAAAGAAGACAATGGGAGGTGGCGAACATAGTGACGTTGCGATGCCATGGCAACGGGCAAGCCGCTTCTCCTCGCGTCTTTCACGTTGCAAAGGAGGGTCGTTTCGTCTGCAATCCCTATTTCCCCCAATGTTTTACCAACGGAAAAGTTCCTCGAAACTCTGCGACTTTTCCCCTTTCTGTATTACAAGAAGCAGTCAGAGTACCTAGATAAGGACGGAAAGAACAACCTCTGGGAAATTATCGGAGATGAATTCGGAATAACAGGTGAGTTTCTCCGTAGCACTTGTCTCATGTCGCGTGCGTTACGACGAATGTCGTGTTGATTTGGTGACACACTCGAAAGTAGCCTTCGTCTGGCGCGCAGCCGGGGTAGCAAAGCACTGACCTGTCCCTCGATGTTTCGGTAGCACCAGCTCGGCCGGATAATACCTGCACCTCCTTCATTCAGAGCGCGGCGACGTCGCAAGTTCAACGAGCAGACGAGGGTAGAAAGTTGGGGAAAGTGGTGATCCATAATTATTAAAAAGCGCAATAAGACGACGGACACAGAAGAAGATCCGGACACAACGAGCAGGTTAGGATGATTATATTCATATACACGCAGATTACCCGGTCATTATCGACACCTACCACGTAGGCAGCGAGTGCGGTTCCGACGCTGATATGTGCGAAAGATGAGAGCCGAAACGGAAGAACCTAACGAAGAGCAGACGACGAA